AATGTCCAATTTTATTACTAATTGAAGACGGCCTTCGCCGCACCGCCTTCTCCGCCCCGCTTAAAGGAGGTGGCACTGACGCGCCATCTTTCTACAGCCCTGATGGGACACTATCTATTTTGAATGCCTGATCAGTGGCTGTGTGTCTTTTTTGAGAAACATGGGAACGTTCATTAGTCTCTGAATCCAGATACAGTATGCGAGTCTGCCACGCACACACTGTTTAGCTCATACAAAAATCTGTAGCCAACTTTTGGCCCGACACTTGTTGAGATGAGGTGGAGTGAATTTGAACCAAATTGGTGAAACGGCCGAGGCCGGTTTGTTGATTGTGGTACCTGTACATTTGCATAATAATACAATATTAATAATGATATTACGTATCGTTCCTTTAAAAGTAAAAACAAAGATACCATTGCGTAATAGGTGTCCTTTAAAGATTGACTTCCTTTATTTGTATGAAAATCCGTAACCCAAGCTTGAATCCTCAGGGTGAACAGAGCATACAGATCTTCAGAGATGAGATGCAAAACAAATGTGTGTGTCTGCTCCGCCCGCCGACTCGCCTGTCTGTGCTCGCATTCTGCCGCCATATGGTGTTTGTTTTGCTCAGGCTAAACTCTAAACAATAAGAGCCATGATTGACACCATTAGGCAGGGAAATGGAGTAGGACAGATCTATTACAGAGTGTGGATTAGCTGGCGAGCTGTTGACTCTTGGTTTGGTCTGTGTCAGACTTTTGGCTCGGCTCAGCTCTGGAGTGTACTCTCAGACACACAAACCCCACACCGATGCACAGTTGAAGTCTGGTGAACCCCCAAACTTCGTACCACTGTTCCACTCATATTTTTGTGTTATTTTGTGTGACACAAGTGAGAGAATAGTTTTGTGTGTTAAATACCAATTGCATTCTAAGGGCGCTTATGAAAAGGACTGGGACTCACCCGAGCCCAACCAGATTTGAACAATTGTCCCTTCTCTTTCACAAACCCATGACCTCCTTGCTCTGAAGCCAAAGAGCTAACCACTGTGCCATCTGCTGTAACCCTGTTCTGATTACTTTCAGTGCACCACATGCGGTTACTTCACACATAAAAATAAAAGTGTTTTAGTTAAAATACTGATTGACCAGTCTGGACCAGTCAGAAGCAATAGGCGGTGGCCAAATTGCGTTTCTCTGTATTTATTGGCTACAGACTCCACTTGTTACTTTGGCTGATAACTAGTTACTTTTGCCCCCATTAACAACACATTTACTGTTGAGGATAAGTAATCGGTAACTAAAACTATTTACTTATAGTAATTTACCTAACGCTGCCTATAACATTTTTTAAATAGATTTTGGGGATTGTTATTCACTGACACCAGGAGATGATTTGGTGCTGGCGAGAGGTTTGCATCCTGTAATCCTGCACAGCTGTAATATGAAATGCAAAGCCCCCAGAGGCACAGTGGCTGAGGGCTTTAGTCTGCTCACCCACACAGTGGTTCCTACAACTATTCCAACCACAACATTTAAATCAGATTTCAATACATTTCTGGTTGTTAATTAATGAATCAATCATTAATTAAATAAAGCTGAAACATTGGAGTTACAATGTTTGAGTGGCGCAGTGGTGCAGAGGTTAGAGGGTTTGATTCCACCTTCAGGCCTTTCTGTGTGGAGTTTGCATGGTCTCCCCGGTTTCTTCCAAGTGCTCCGGTTTCCCCCCCACCACAATAGACAATAGATCTGGCATGTGCCTCCTGTATGGCGACGTAGCTCACATCTCTGTGTGGAGTGAGAGACAAAATGCCCACAATAATTGTAAAGCTCTTTTTGGCTCTGGTTTGTGAAAGGCGCTATATAAATAAGGATTATTAAAGGTTACAATTACTTTGACTTACATAGATATGACTTGATTCATTGACATTTTAGCTCCAACCCTTTGACTTTGCATTTGACTTCTGTTGAAGGATTCCAAATATTTAGCCGCTTTAAGCATTCATCCCACACATTAGCACATTATTCAGTATTTGCATATTTTGAAGATCATGAAACAAGTGGGCTGCAGCAGCTTTTCTCCAGGATATCAATACTAGTTTGTCATATATGAGCAGCTTTTTATGCCTTTAAATTCTTTCTTTGCTCTGCCAACTTGTGGACTAAAGGATTAGATCTCAAATAACTAGTGGAGAGGGAATGTTTAAACTGGTTGTGTGCGGAGAGAGCAGATCAGAGAACAAACTAACATTGGCATGAGAAAAATTTGGGAACGAACTGAGGAATTCAAGCTGAAATAAGTTACGGTCTAATTCTCTGTATAAAACTTATTGTGTGAACTTTCTTCTCAACATTGAGGATTTTTTTTCTATCTTGTGTGAGTTGTTAAGAGTTGAATCTGTGGAGGTTTTTTTACTCTGCAGGTAGTATGTTGCAGCTTTTGCCTTTTTGGGTAATTATTTATTTTAAAAAGTGCATTTACGGTGTTATGCTGCACAGTCCATGTTGTGAGCTAAAGGCGTTTGGTAGCTGTGACTCTTGCAGGTTTTACCAACATGTGCGAAGTGAATGAATTTTGCATGGAGTTTCATGGCGACTTTCTGACCATCTGTGAAAAGTGTATAAAGATGACCACTGCTTGCATATGGACAATTGTGCTGAGAAATCGGGTTTTGGGAAGTGCATGTTTGGCGGTGGGTTGCAAGTACTTTTGGGCTGCTGCTGCAACAAAAATAATAAGATTGTCTGGCTGTCTGTCTGCTGCAGTTGTGCTTTTAGTAGTGGCCCTGTATCCGGTCGCTGTTGTTGGCATGGACCATTTTTCACTATTTTGCAATACTTTGAGTAAAACATGGAACTCAGTGTTGGCGTGAGTTCAAGAGAGTAAAAAATATATAGAAAAAGAAAAGGAGGCACAAAGAAGCGGAACCACTTATAAAACACATATAGATCCTATAATTAAAGTAAAAAAAAGGGTAGTACGTTTAATAAATAAAGTGGGTTATTGTGAATCTACTAATCAACTTTTTATGAAACATAACATGCTAAAATGTATGGACATAATCAAGTTAAAAATTCTAGAAATCGTATTCAGAGTTGTAAAAAAAAACAAAGATATTCCTGCAGGTGTTCAATCTTTCTTCAAAATAAGAAAAAGTCGCTATAATCTGAGAGGATTGCTTCAGTTGGAAAACTGAAGCATCGTCAACATTTATCACACTTGTTTTTACATTTTCATTTTCAGTAAACTGACTTTCACTGCTGTCAATTTTGTGTGGCCTCGAAGTTATAAGTGCTTCATTATTTTTCCTCTTGAATAAACCAATTAAGAATTAGCTCAGGCAAATCCGTGCTCCGCTGCTGGTGTCGGCGTCTGGATTGGCAGTTTGTTTTCCATTTGGCTTGAGTAAAACAGTTGTAGAAGAGTTAATTGGAGGCTTTCCCCTGGGGTAGCACAAGGTGACTTTGGAGAATAGTGTGTGTAAACAAAGCTCTTAAGAGTCGTAGTTTGGCTGATTTGTCCCCTCCCAAGTCTGGCCCCTCCTCACAACACTACTAATGTATGGAGGTCATTCACAATTTCAGCACCGAGTGTCAGTATATCTCATAATGGGCCTCATGCATCGACATTGAGGAGAGAATGGTGTATTTTTTGGGGGCACCGTGGAAATTACAGACCAGGGCTAACGTCGCTCATAGTGCTGTTAGCCCTAATGCCGAAGTAGCTGATATTGGTTAGCCTATTGGCCGACAGGATGCAAGGACTACAGACCAGTGGCACTAACATCTGTCTTCATGAGGACTTTTGAGAGGCTAGTACCCTGACTGCTCATGCCACAGGTCGAGCAGGGACTGTGCTAAACCACAGATTGTTTAGGCCAAAATTATCTCCGCAGTCAATAGGAGCCAGAGCAAGTCAAAGCAAAACTTAGTCCATGAGCACTTTCCTATTGGCCTATTAAGATAGCAGGTTAGCTTTGTCCATCTGTGTACAGTCTATGGGACAACCAGAGCTGGAGCAGCTTTCAAAGGCAAATTTGTCGTGCCTTAGATAATAATATCTACCACTGTATTTAAAGATGGCGCATTGACACGGAGAGTCCTCCAGCCTCATGTACATTTATAAGTCAAATTCTAATCCTATAACAACAATTCAAAAACATGGTGGAGGTAAATATTCTTTAAAAAGTCATAATTATCATTGGTTAACATGTTTTTTCATTTGGAGCAACTGTAAAAATTACACAGAGTACCTTTAAATGGAGCCCAGAGGATTGAGAGAGTCTTAACGTAAAGCAGCTTATTTACAATGTTTTTATTAAATTTAGTTTTTTCTTTAACACCTGCCTTTGCTCAATTATTCTATTTACGGTGTCACCATTTGAAATCAATACTTGGAAGGCGAGCTCTCGAACCACAAATTGAAAATGTAACATATATTTCTCAATTTCACAGCATTTGCTCTGCTTTGGACTTCTCTAATGTGCGAGACATTGGTCTGTACAAAAGTAAACACGGCTGAGCTGTGATAGACAAACGATGATTGTCTGTAAGAACTCCATGCTCTGTACTCTATCATACTTTACTGGGTTTTTTTATTAAAAAAAAAAAATCTGTTCTTGACAACAAGGTCACATCTACGATTTCTCTCATCCATCTCTACATTCAGTTATACATCTGCATTTCTCCATTGTTAGATCAGTATAGTTTATCTTATTCTATCTTATGCAATATTGACTTTTTTGAATGTTTAACCATTTCACAATAATTATTATTTGGAACTTCTGGTGCAAATACATATCAACTCACCGTCCTTTATTTATTAAACACGCTGTAAGGACTACAGTATGACTTCGTGGACAGAGACGTTTCCTGCCTTTTTTATTGTCTCTAATCATTTGTTTTGTTATTTCTTCAGTCAACGTGCTTAACAACTTTAACTTCTGTAACTTTAGGCCATGTTCTGTTATTTATTCCTAATTCCCTGTGTGACTTGTCCCCTACTCTCTGGTGCAGGGGCTGTTGTTCTGCACCCCAGAGTGTGTGAAGAACCCCACAGACCTGCTCAGGATCTACCTCCACGAGTCCTGTCGGGTCTACAGAGACAAGCTGGTGGAGCCCGCAGACTTCCAGGCCTTCGACCAGCTCCAGGCCAATGCTGCGCAGAAGTACTTTGAGGTAAGTTAACCGCCCCTCACCAAAGCTCACCCCTCAGACTTGGCTTAGAGTGTTTCATAGTTTGCTATTTGTTGTGAAATTATGTTAAAACTGATGGTAAGCAGAAGTCAATCATTTATAACTTAACGTATATTAGGGAAGCTTCCTGGGTACAAACTCTGGTTTTCTCGTTGATATAATGAAAATGTGGTGGTTCCTTCATGTAATAGATGCAAGCCAAGTAAATATGGCTATAATCCGAATCAGAATCATTTTTATTTCCATGTAAGAAACAGGAAGTCACAGATTAGGAAGTTGCTTTTGCTCTCGGTGCAAACAAGTCAAAAGTAGAGAAAGAAAAAGGCATAATAAAACATTTTTGAAGTAAGAGGAAATTTAATGACACTAAAAGGTTATAATATGCATACAGATTATAAAAAATACCCTAAGGAGAGAGATATAGAAAGGATCAAGGCCTTAGCAGGAGGCCTTTTCCTACATGATGTTGATGGAGAGCATACACAGACCAAGTTACGCTAATGGTCCATCCCAGCTGCATATATACGAGCTATGCGTCCCACTGAGATCACACTCGATTGGTCAGGGGGGTCAGCCAGGAGCCAATCAGCCCCTATGGACGGGGGGCACCGGACAGCAGATAAGAAAATCCATTCCAACAGTCACTTATACTGCAAAACAAACAACAAAACAAGTCTCCTACTGAGGCACGATTGCAGAGGAGTTGTTCAGACATGCACACAACCCCCAGTGTCTGAAGAAACTAACAAAAGATATGGAGGTCTGGGAGGTGAATTAGCAGGAGACATGTTTTATTGTTGGAACACAGCGTAACATTCCCTACACACCGCGTGCATCTTTTGGGGTGGACATATTCACATAGTGGCCGTTGTGGAAGCCTGGAATATGCACACCACCCGCCAACGCCAGCCGCTTCTCAACCCAAAATACAAGCCAAGCAAATTTTTTTGAGGATAACATATTCTTGCGTTAATGATCTTTGACGACTCGATCTGCACCCCATGCCCGGTTTCAGGACAGTTTTTTTGACCAACCAAGCCCTATATGGACCATGAGGACAAACACATACATCTGACTTGTGCTCGTACATACTTATCTGGGCTTTAGTGTTCTCTCCATGCAGCAGGACAAATACAATAAAAAATAAAACCATAAACTGTTATGTAGAGTAAAAAGTTGTAGAAGTAGAATGCAAAAATCTCTCTAATACAGCAAGAAATGTATGTCAGTATGTGAGGTGAGGAGGTGACAACAAATGCGTCTAATAATCACAAAATATCCACAGCAGGGGCCATTATTAAATAGGCTCACACTCTTTTGTTAGAATTAAACAAATATCTTGGCCCATCACAATATGGTGAATATGGACCCCTGGACAATAGAACCGCCTAGCGCTATATTACTAATTAGCATCACACTCTTCCTACAGGCGCTGCACTCGTCTATAGTATTTTGAACACAATGGCCGTTGCTAAGGTTAGTGAAGGTTAGTGAAAGAGTGTCACTTTTTTCAGGTCTGTAAGAAAGCAAGCAAATACATTCAAAGGATTTGTTATTTATCTTCAGAAAAGTGACACACCAAGCTTGCTCCTTGCTAGATATAGCTTAAAATCATTTACTTCTATGTCAATCAGAATTAGAATATCCCAACGCTACAACCAACCAGCTTTCAAAACTTTTGATGCAAATCCATGGCATTTTTGTTGCATTTCAGTTATAAATCAAATTTGCAATCCACAGAGAGGATAATCCAAAAAAATCTATTGGACGGTATACTGGCAAAACTCGAAAAAGTGTGTTTATTTCTGTAATTCAACTTAAAATGTGAAACCAATATGATATAGAATCATTACGTGCAAAGTGATAACCTTGCTTTGTTTGTTATAATTTTAATGATTTTCAAAATATAGTTTTTTAGATTCCTAAGCTGGGTCTTTTACAAGCTTCAAGCCAAGCATCAGAATGATAACAATGAAAGGCTCGATATGCTTCACTTTTCCTGTAATGAGTCAAAACTCAGAGGGGCATCACACTTTTGCTCGACCCAGCACCTCCTCTCGCCACGACAAGTTTTAATCCAAGGAGCAGCAAGGTTCTCAAAGCAAGTTTTCTCCCGGGGGTTCTTACGGTCTACTTTTAGTAATACAGTTATGCTATAATGACTCCACAGAACGACTCTCAAACAGCCTTTTTGATTGAACCCAACCACCCCCTCCCACACACACACACACACACACACACACACACACACACACACACACACACACACACACACACACACACACACACACACACACACACACACACACACACACACACACACACACACACACACACACACACACACACACACACACACACACACACACACGCACACTGCTATAGTAAAATCCCCTCCCACTCACACACTCCCCCAGTTCATTCACAACTACAGTACTTTGGTTAAACAGATTTAGACTACAAAATAATACACTTTTCCCATTGAAATGTGTATATTTGCTAGAATTATGGATATGGTTATGGTTTACTATATGTATATGGTCCCTAAGGGGAAATGTGGGCAAAAATATGCAAGTGCACCTTCTGCTGAACTTTAACTGTATTTTTTGCACTGGTTTAGAGAATCACAACTTCTCAAAATGAGCAACTTTGCACCTTCGTGAGAGATGAGATGAGATGTACTTTATTATCTCACAATGGAGAAATTCAGTTTGATGAATAAACATCAAGGCTGGCTGCATAGTATATTTCTGCGCTCCTTCATTTAAACCATTTGTGTTGAAATTAAGTCACAGAAATCTCACAAGATCATAATCTACATCGAAACAATGACATTATGAGTAGTTTTATACAATGTGGGGGTAGTTTCCTTTTAGTGTTAGTGTTTAATGATCAAAAACTGTAACACAATAAAGTGGGCTAAGACAGAAGATTGTAGGGTCAGACTGCTGGAGCTGGGGTGTGTAATTTAGTTTGAAGTTGGTATTGTATATATTGTAGAAAAAATATGCACATATTTACCAGACAAATGAACAGAATACATGTTCAATTACACTGCAGTATTGGAAGTTTAAGGTGCACCAAGTTATTGTTTGATTGTGTTTCTGTTCAATAATATGGTGAATCATCAACACTGACCTTAGACCTTCCTGCATCAGTAATCCAGTCAGATTAAGTGAGAAACCTCAGTGAGGCCCACATTAAGGGGAGGATCCGCTCCCATGGAGCAGAATGAGGCCCAGGGTCACGTAGTGCAGGACTGAGGCTAATTAGCTTTAACTAGTCATTTGTTCATATTCATGTGCATTTACTAGATATAATCAATACCACTCGACAATGTCAGTTGTATTATAACTATAAATAAATACATGAAATATCAATTGTTTTGAATCAACACTGTGTGAGAAGATAAATCATCACATGGATGTGGAGGGGCACTGGTGTGGTGATGGGCTGATGATGTGGTAGGGCTCCCATACGGGTGTCACTATCTTCTCCCTTACACAGACACTCACATTATCAAGTTGACAAAGTGAAAGTATTATACTGGCTGGTTGGCTCTGGTTTATTGCTGGTTTGTTTTCTGCCCTGGTGTTGCCCTGGTACCTGCTGCGTGCTGATTGGCTGGGGTCACTGTGCTGCTGGTTGCCTTCATGTTGTTGCACATTGTTCTACTACTGGCTCCAAAAACACAGATGTAAATATGATATTCACAGGAGTGGGAATTTAGACTTGAGATTTTTCTTCCTCCCACTCCTTTTCGAGTTTGAATAATGTATAATATTTTAATGAGTAATTGTATATGAATTATTTGTTAGCAAATTTGATTGTAGTGACATACATTGAACTCGCAAAGTCAACTCAACATGCAGCATCACTGACATGCAATAGAATTGGAAAAGAAAAAATAGGCTACTTGGCTATTGCAAATGCTAACTACTGTATATGCTGAAGTTTGTTAGCTTAGCCACATTAGCATAACTCAAACCAACACTCACCAATTCACGGTGTAAGCCCCAGCACAATTCAGTTTTCACTCGTGATTTGTAGACACACTCTGATATCATGAAGAGAGCTGTTGTCAACCTAAAACAAGAGTACAGAAATATATGTTTAGTAATTTCTTCAGTAAATTTATCAGATCAGAGGCCAAGGATCTCATAATTACTTGACAAACAAATATGAACATGAATCTAACACGCCGTAAATGTACGAACACAACACTTGAAAATGTGTTTTGGGATTGTGAGCTCAGTTACTTCTCTGCACTGGGAGGAAGGGGGTTGTTAGCTCTCCGTCAGCACCATGGACAGTGCAGCTCAGTCCAGAATAAGAATGAGGCGAGCAGAGGTCCGCCTGTCAGGGGCCGCTCCTTCTGCTGGCAAATTGGAAAACATCTGAATGCTTCTCAGTCCGGCAGCCTCTTCACCTCACTCATGCACCCGCCCATGGCACAATGAAGACCATTTGACAAGTTTATATGTGCGCTCTGCTGTGAGAGTGAATGCTATAGTGTGTCTAATGAAGAGAGCAGAGAAGGAGGAAGCTACAGTGAGGGTGGACAGAAACCCAGCTATATATGACAATAAATGTCTGCAAAATGGACATTCTTTTTTTTTTTTTTATATGTTGTACTGTCATTAGTCTCCCCAAAGGGCTTCAACAGTAGTCGACAGTTTGTGAGTCAGCTTTAAAATACGAAAATATTTGAACTATGAAATTCAAAATCTCCCAATGGCCATCCAATCTGGACGCAGCTATTTGGTTCCTGCTAAAATAAGATCCCAAATTTTTTTTGGGGAATGGACATGCAGTTAGATATATAGATTGATTGACATTCAGGTGTCCAATGGCAGAAACACATCCATCTATACCAACAAATAAATACATACATTATAAAATCCCTAACAATTGTAATAAATGGAAGAGCAGAGGTGGTGATGAGCTGCTCCATATCCTCTGGCTGATGTATGCAGAGTCTT